TCGCTGTGGTTAATGTAAAGGCACAACGCATCTTTTACCTATAAAAAATCGAAAATATGTACAAAGTACTGTGCCATCACGTGACGCAGTCTTGGAACACTTCGAGATGCGGTTGATTCAGTCGGTCCTGAATTTGCTGCAGTTTTCTTTAAAAAATCGTGTAATGCTAATTTTGATAATTAATACAAAGACAAAATAAATGTGGTTATACTCGAGTTTTAGATGCCAAGATCTAACGTCGCATCTTCACAGCAACAAAATTTTGGATACAATTTGTCATTTTTTTTGCCAGATATACGTTTTATCAGTGCACTTGCAAAACGTTCGCATCGCAAAGACTCCGCATTGTTTATTGCGAATATAGTTTATTCTTTTACAAAGACTTAATAAATCCAAGTTTGAAACTACATACGTGCAATATTAAAAAAAAATAAATAAAAATAAAAATTTTGAGTTTTTTACCAAATTGAATGAATGAAAATGAATGAAAATTATCTTTGAAACAACTCATTTTTCTTTGAAATCCTCCATTACTTTTCATCCAATAAGCGTTTTTGTGGAGCTCTAAAAATTATAACTACAACATTTGAGCATGGTATGCTACCGAAACGTAAGACGTATTCTACGTCAAAAACCTACAAATTTTTTTAGGAAAAGCCCAAAACGGCAACATTTTCAGGCAATAGCCTCATGCGATTATCGATTATATTTTTTGTTGTATGTGTGAAATATTTTATTTTTATCAGTATTTTTCTTTTAATCAAAATATGTTGAAATAAAAGTGAAAATAAAAAAAATATTTTGCCTAAAAAAGGAAATAATGCCCGCGGGCGTTATTGCCTTTTCGAAGAAGAAATTAAGCCCGCGGGCTTTATTGCCTTTTGCCGGTGGGATTTATTTCCCTTTCGATATGGCAATAACGCCCGCGGCCTTCGCGGGCCTGTTGGCGCTAAACTGCGGCGGTCCGCGTTAGCGCCATCGCGCCAACGCGCGCCGCGCCGCGGTCATCTGCGTCTGCCCGCCACCACTGAAAAACCTAAGAAAAAAAAGCTAAAAAAAAGTAAAATTTCACCTTTAATTTCCAATAATTCGCTTATCAGTTATTGGCAAAAATACCGTTCGATTTTATGCGTATACTGCAGAAGGGTATTTAACGCAGAACTACACTGTATGCAAAAATAGAGATCAATTCGTTTAAAATACGTTCCATTTTGTGGAACGCCCAAGGGCTTTATTTCTCTTTTTTTGGGAAATAAAGCCCATGGGCGTTATTTCCGCGGGCCTTATTGCACTCCACCGCTGCAAACCAGTGTTGCCAAACCTTTTTGGTCCGACCAGCTAAATTGGCTAAAACAGCTAAAACGGCTAAAATGTTTCAACTAAAATTAACGTATTTTATTTAAATACATCACAAGTACAAAGACTAGTCAATTTATTAAACTAATTTTGGTTAACAGAGGTTTTATGTAGCTAAGCTTAACACCACTCGTTAAATAAATCACAATAACAAAGACTGGTAAATTCGTTACAAATTATTTTTGTTTAACAGAGGAAACTGTCGTTTTACCCAGCGGGGCTTTACATCAGAAGTCATATTTTGGCAATATTTTGATAAATGAACACGTAAAGCTGAGGAAAACAGGGCAACATTATCGAGAAAAAACGCCATTAATTTATATCGAATTTTTAAGTTTTTAACAATTAAACTATTTAATTTAATTTTGATGTCCACATATTAGAAATGTTCCACGGTGCAAATTTGAACTAGCTAGGACATACCGTTGATTTATGACGGTGCTACGCATTTTTTCCATACACAGTGTGTTCGACAAGTTTTTTGTATGAAAAAAATGCAGCAAAAAATTGCCAAAAATCAACGGCAAGTTCTAGGTACTTTAAATTTGCTTTTTACTACACCAAAATCTAAAATTTTTAAAGATGCTGATTAAAAAGTTAAAAACTTTGGTCAAAATTTGCAAAGTTTTCATAATCTGCAAAACTGCCGTTCGATTTTTTATATCACAGTTCGGCATAATAATTTTCTCTAGCTAGCCATTTCTTATAGATTTCGTATCGCTAAATTTCTAAAAATGGTAACTTACATACTCGAATTTTAAGAAAATAAGGCAAATAGCAAAATAGGCTAAAAACGGGTAACTCTTTTTGAAAAAACGGCTAACAAATCGGCTGCCGGCAAAAAACGAATTTTCTCCGGCTGTTTGCTATCGCAACCGGATAAATCTAACCGGAAAACGGCTAAACTGCCAACGCTACGGCAAACTACCGCTGATTTTTGGTAATTTTTGTTTTTGCTGACAGTGTTGCGCATAAGAATGTTCGCAATTTTTATATATGGACTATGAAACCGCACGCCCAAAAGTTTTCTCATAAATTTTGAATAAGAAATGTGAAATTTTGGTTGTTTAAAACATGTATTTACATATAAAAGTTATCTAAAAAATTAAAACTTATCAATATGTCGGTGACCCCTTCAGTATGTCACGCAATAGAAAGTGAAAAGAACGCCAAATGTATTACTCGCCCAGGGCATTATTCAAAAATTATAGAATTCAAACCCACCTTTAACATTCTAACTTTGTATCTAGTAATGCTTTTGCCTATTCTTCGGAAACCAACTCAACCCGGAAAACTAAAGCTGTTCTTTCGAACTGCTGGATTGCTTGCGCGAATACAGTGATACGCTAAGCAGTATTTGGTAGGATAGCTTAATATCTGCGAAGGGTTGTACCCAAATGGTATACATGCACGCCCATGTACAGTGGCGGATTTACCATAAAGGAAACATAGACAGATGCCTAGGGCGGCAAAATTTTAGTTGACAAATTTTTTTTATATTTTTTTTAAGTCAGCTGCACTGAAAGTAGAATTTGCGTTTGTACATTTTAAGACATAAATTTGAGATTGTTAATGATGGACTTCTTTAAAAGTTGAAAGCCTTTACTCAAGGCAAATACCACTTTGTAGCAAATAACATAAATTTGAATATTACTATTTACTGCTAATCGTTCCAAAACCGGTACTATTACCTCAAAATATTTTTCTTATCGGAAAAAGGGCGGCAAATTCTGAATTGCCTAGGGGTGACAAATATTCAAATCCGCCACTGCCCATGTACATACATAGTTATAAATAAATGTTTAATTAACAGTCTTAACTTGGTGCAAAATCTCTTAATGATTCCCTATTTCCATTCTCGCATTCGACAGCAAAACGAATCCGGCAAAGTTTCTTTGGCGCCACTTCCGTTAAAGCTCAAAACGAGCAAAAACGCCCAAAGTGATGATCTACACATGCATATCTGCACAAGTAAATATGCATTGAGATATATGTATGTATATGTAAATATAGTTATAAAAATATTAACATCTACATACATGAGAACGCACGCAAATACATAAATATGCACATACATATATAGACACAGTTGTATGTATGTATGTATGGCCCTTTCAGGTTAACAAGATGCGAACGC